AAAAAAAAAAAGACTTTTCAAAACCTCTCTCTGTTCCTCACTAGCCAGAACAGAGAATGAGGCCAATTCTTGCCCAGATTCCCCTAGAAAGCCCACAGAAAAGAGGGCCCAAATCTTATCCACCATTAATTAACTCGATGCCTGGGAAATAGTAGGCACTCAAACTGATCTGAATTTCCTTAATGGTGAAACTTTCCCACCTCAGAGAGATCCCCAGGAAGGTCTACCCTACTCCCAAACCCTGGATAACAGACTGTAAACGAGGACCAAAGGCAACCAATGCTGTTCCCATATTTCCTTGAGATGAAGTTCTGCTACCATCTACTCTGCACACTTGGGGGGAAAGGTGGGCGTACAGAGTAAATGAAACACCTCCTGCTCGCGGAGCTCTGTGCTGCGAGATGAGGAATGAGAAGAAACACATTGCCGGTCCGCTCAGACACTGCATGGCAAGCGTACTGCACACAGATGTGTTATGGGCACTGTCCCTAGAGTCCCATGCACCTGGGTTCCAGTCCCAGTCTTTCCACTTACTAGGAGCTTTGAGACCATTCAATGGATTCACTTAACTCAGCACAGTCTTGACATAATGGCTACCGCCCCACTAACTCTGGCTGTTCCTAGATACCCAAGCAGCAGAGACTGGGCAGAAACCGCCATCCAGGCCAGAACTCGCTTGGGCGACCTCAGAGACATCTCCAAGGCGGAGACACAAAAGGGCCCTCGGTTCTCCATCCCCAGGGACGGTGGGAGCCCAGGGCCTGAGGCTGAGGGCAGCCTCCCTCCCAGATCCGCCGGCACTCACTGCAGAACCCCAGGAGGGTCACGGAGAAGCCGTGCTTGGCCAATGACAGCGCGTGATATTGCATGCGGGGGCTGCGGCCCACGTCGCCCAACACCACCACGAGCACGTGCCGAGCTGCGCGCTCCCGCCCCCAGCGCTTCCAGCTGCCCACCAGCAACAGCAGCAGCAGCAGAGACAGAGCAAACAGGGCCACGTAGGGCGCCGCCATCTTGGCGGGCCGGCAGCCGTCACGTGACCGCCCTTCCGCGGGCCCCGCCCCCGCCCCGCCTCCGGCCCTGCGTGCGGTGCGCAACCGCAGATCGAGCCTCCGAGGAGGGCAATGAGGGAGGCGGGGCGGGGACCTGGTTATCTAAGTGGGGCCCGCGGAACCGCTGAGGAGTCCCAGGGCCTAGAATTAACAGGCCATGTGCCTAGAATTAACACACACACGAGATTTCCTAAGTGCGGTGTATTTCCCCTATTAAAGTAAACTTGTTACTATATTGATATCTAGGAATTTTTTTCAGGGTTCTAAAGTAATTTCACAAGGTAGTGAGACAAAAACTTGGATGAATCTCACAACCACGATTTTGAGAAAGGAAACCAGATGCCAGTGGTGCGTATGGTTCCATGTCTAAGAATAGAAACCGACCTTTGCTGTCAGAAGCAAGAGAGTGAGTGGCAGGGGCCAATGGTGCAGGGAGGCCCTGGGTGTGTTCCACTGGGGAAAAGTCATCGGGCAGCTCGTTTTTCTGAATGTTCGTTACTTGAATAAGGCATTTTAAATATGTTGGGAGAAAAGGAATTAAATAGAAAGTAAAACCATAATTATTTTTAAGTATCCATAGTTAGAAGGGAAATTTTCCCACACACACATTTTAACCTCCCGCAGTAGCCACAGAAAAGACTTCAGCGACAGCCTTTTCCTTTGAAAGCGGTTCCTTGCTGAGAAACGACTGAGAGCACACTGATGAAGCCATCTCACCGCCCCCCCACCACGCGCAGAACCACCACCCCGACCTATGTTCAACAAACAGATAAGACAGCACCTCTTCCCTTGATGAAAGCCCGCAGGCAGCACCTGCTAGACAGGGCTCCCCAAGCTGACGTGGCTCCCAGTGTCCCCAGAGCTCAGCTCAGGGCTTGGAACAATTCTCATCTGCCTTTCTCAACAGCCCTGTGACCTCCCTTTTTACGGATTAGAAGGTAAAGGTCACACCCTGAGCCTGAAACCTGAGCATTCAGGAAAAGAAGAGTAAATATGCACACGGGAGGGGTGGGCAAGCGAGTCCTGGGCAGCAGAGTTAAACCTCCAGTGCCAGAGTGGCCCCTGCCTCAGGGTTGCATGTACTGGGGACGGGAGGCCGGATACTTCCCCTGCCCAATTCTGTCATTCCTATGATGGAATGGGCTGAAGTTTCAGCCTCAGTGCTCCTGGCTCCTGCTGGACCTTGGACAAGTCATTACCTGTCAACAAGCTTCCCTCACCTGTGCATTAAGGGACTGGGACTTTGTGACTTAGCCCCTCTTGCTCTGATGATCTTAGAAGACTAGGATCTGGCAGCATGGTCATGACAAACCAAGAGTAGATGTCTCACTCTGGTAACGAAACCCAGGCTGAGAAGGAGTTGCAGTTGTGTCTCCGTGACAGTGTTTTTCAGCCTTTTTAAATCTCACAGCCTGATATGTGCTACAATATGAATGAACCTTAAAAACTTTACACTGAGAGAAGCAGTGAGGCAGGAGGATGTGTGCACAAGCTGTCTGGCTTGGGCTGCAGCTCTTGGTGCTGAGCAAAAAGTAAGATAAACCTATAGTTAAACTTAGGTTTAACTTAAATTGAGTTATGTTGATCAATAAAAAGAATAACAAAAAGAATATACGTACTGTGCCTTGAACTTCTTTCAAAAATAGTATCATTAATGATCTTTAAAAAATGTTCACGGCACACCTAAGATCCTCTTATGGCATGTGGGTTGAAAAACCACTGCTCGGCTCGGCACCTATAGCTCAATCGGCTAAGGCACCAGCCACGTACACCTAAGGTGGCAGGTTCGAATCCCCAGCCCGG